GATGATTGAATCACCTGGTGTTTTATTATGGCTAATGTCTTCATAAAAATGCCAGACATGACTGACTTACAAATTTGGGCATTAAAAACTTGACTAATGTCACTCAGATGAAAGAGCTGGGAATCAGATGATTTTTATTTATTTATTGGTTTTGTGGTGCTGATATTTTTTTTCCAGCTGATAATTTGTTGCGCTTCAAAGGACACAGGGCATGATAGCACTTAAACTCCACTTCTGAGAAAAGATGAAGGGAATATCTGAAACTTATTTTGAAACCTGAAGTCATAGCTGTGGAAGTTCAAATACTTTCCATTCAAACTGAAAAAAAAAAAAAAGTCAGAAATTTCCAAGTTTCAGCTCAGTTCTTGGATCAATAGGAGGTAATAATACTCTGGTTGAGTTATCAGAAGACTTGTTCCAGAGGCTCTGTGTTTAGTCACATAAGACATAATACTGAGTTTACGAATGTAATCCTTCATTGCAGTAGGTACTGCTACTGTTATCCAAAATGTCATGGATGGTGAAGAAAAACATTTTTAGGGTAATCTAGGAAATTTCAGACAACTCTTATTCACTGTAGTTGTTTATATTCTATGTCTAAATTCCCTATACAGTCCTGGAAACTTTATTGATGTATCTGTGTATATGCTCAACCTGTTGTTCCCTTTTCCTTTCTAACTACATACGTGGTTTTGGCTGTTATAACAGCACTGGCCATACAGACCATAGGTTGTCATGAGCCGCCAGGATAACGCTCTCTGTATGCCAAGATGTTTGTAAAGAAAGCGTGAGTTAAAGCACTCTGGACTGGGCTTTTCTGCAAAGTCTTGCGTTGCAAGTGCTAGATGAATGGCTAACTCACTCCAAGCATTTTCAACACAAGGTTTCTCAGAAAGAAACCCAGAAGGCAAAGTTGTGTTTTCACTGCAGTCCATGATAGGGTTTACAGTGTTGTAAGCAGGGCTGGTATTCACTTCTTGCTAATGGGAGTATCTTGATTTGTAGTTCCTGCCAGGATTTGGTCTCATATAGTTTCTGACCACATCTGTTCAAAACCAGAGGACTAGCTGGCAAAGGAGCAGAAATTCTTTCAACAGCTCTTTGAATAAGGATCAGCTACTTCTAATTTACCATGGGGCAAAAACATTTACACGGCATTACCACAGCGCAGGTGATGTACCCTGAAGGTTCATAACCCAGTTTACCCTGCACTAACTTGTTCACATATCCGCGTCTTAATTTTATGGTAGCCACTTTATTGTGTGAATCAGTTGTAATTAGCAGGAACAATACATTCATATCATGTAAGGGAAACAAACCCTATTTTAAGAAAATTTTCATTAGATTAAGTAGTATTATGGTGAAACAATTTTGTGAGCTCCTCTGAATGCTTAGCAAACAGCATTTCTAATTAAACAAGTTTTGCTTGCCCTGTGTTGTTCTTTGTATTGCACAAATGGTTGGAGCAGAAAACGGTTATTAAAGCCAGGAGTGTGCCTAATAACTGGTGTGATAGAAAAGCAAATTGGTAGCTCAGTACCTTTTTAAAACAGCTGTAAAGTTTTTACTTGGTAGCAGAAGTCAATTGATTTTTTCCTTTCTTCCCTACTTTGCTTTTGGTCTGTGGTCCGAGAGGTTCCCCCCCTCACAGCTGGCTGCAAAGGAGCCAGGTTCGGCAGCTCACACCTGTGTAAGCATTTGAGGTAGAATGGTGTGAATTAGCCAAAAGCTGCTCAGCTACAACTGTTATGCGCTGAGGTGACTGAGGAGGGAGCTGCTACTGTGAAGGGTTTCTTCGCCACAGAAACTAAAAATATTTTTTTTTAATCCAAATCTTGGATTTTTCACTTTGTGACAGTGTTGTTTGCACCGGGCTTTTTCTAGAGAGGCATGTGGGGTTTTTATGATGTTGTCTGATTAGGTTATCAGCAGAACTCCTCTGCTTCTGCTCTTAGAGGCTTTGTGTCACTTTTATATATTAATTTACTGCATCAATATGAGATCATTAGCAAGTGTGTACTGAAAATAAAAACAACTTTCCAGAGTGGGGTTGTCCATTTATTATCATTGTAATTTTAACTTTCAAGTGAATTCAAAATAAGTGGAAACGGACATTTTAATTTTAAGTGGTCAAGCTATAATATGAAATTTTGTTCAAAACATATTTATCCTTTAACTCTGCCTCCTTGTTGTTTTGTGTCACTTTCACACAATTAAAATGATGTCCTGGCAGACTTTCCACTTGGAAACAGCTCTGAGAAACAGTGTTATCTGTTCTCATTTAGTTAGAACCATTTAAAAAATAAAAATAAAAAATAAAAAAAAAATACTGCCTGACTATGGACAGAAAGCATATTCTTATTTACAGATTTTCTGAGAGTATAACTTCAGGAAGAAAACGAAATAGGTGTAGAGTGAATGTATTACAAATACATGGCTTAAACATCTCAGTTCTACGGCCAGTTTCAGGTTCTATTTATTACTTATTCATTGTTTTTTTTTTTTTTGTTTGTTTGTTTGTTTTTCCTAGCTACAGAAATAGAACTGGTCTCCTTCTGTTTGACAGCCCTAGGCATCTATCTTAGGCTCTCCTGTACCTGAGAGGTAGCTTTCTGGAGGCATGGAGCCTATGAGACAGTACAACAGCCAGTGAAGTCCACCCCATTAATAAGGACTACTCAGTTTATTAATGTGCTGCTCCGAGGGAAATGCCTCCAGTAGGTGTCTGCTGGTGTTTGTTGAACACCTTTTCTGGGATCCTTGAAACCAAAGCAAACTCTAGTGGTGCAAAGACCAAGAAACTGCGAGGGAGAACTCAATGCCCAGTTGGAGAAGTGGTGCTGTTCGCCTAAAAATCAACAGATACTCTCCTATGTACAAGTTTCTTTCAAAATACAGTTCATATGAGGACCATAGTCTTCTTGGAATATGTCATTTGCAGATAAGGTAAACTGATCTACAAATCCAAAAATTTAACACTTAATCTGATAGTTTTGACTGCCCACTCTTGTGCCAGTAGTTATGTGTATGAACTCTATTGCATGAAAGGCAAAGCTGTCCTTCTGGGAGACTTACTCCTTCCTGTTCGAATGCACTTGAAGAGGCAGAGCTGAAGCAGGTAGCTTCTGAGCAAGGTGCTTGTTACTTACTATATTTGAGCACCACCTTGGCCTCAGAATGAGAATTGCTCTTGGGGAGAATGGCTGCTTTGCCAAAAGGAGAAAAACGGTTTCCTGGGATTAACAGCAACTACTGCTGCTACTGTTATCTGGCTTTTGTATTTTTGCTGGCAAAAGTTACTGTCCTGCTTTATTTAATTCCAGTCAGCTAGTCTTATTCAGTTCTGTGGTGCAGGGGAGTTGTGTTATTTATGGCTGGTGGATGTCAAACAGAACAATTCATTAAGCTCCTAGACCAGTTGATTCCTTGTTATTTTCTTTTAACTCATTCCTGTGTGTGCTTTTATTGCTGTCATAAAGATGTCGTAACCGCCCCAAACTGCTCATTTTTACTGTATCTTGTTTGTTACCAAAGACCTTACTTTTCACTGCCAATTTTGGCTGAAAACTTCATGATACATGGGAGAAATTTTGCTTGCAAAACCCCTGTCTCAATATTAAATGGTTTTAGAGGGATAAGGCATAGTTCAGGAGCTTTTCTTTTAGTTTCTAACTATTGGATAGGGCAGCCTGTAATAATACACGATGTTATGCAGTTTTTCACTGGATGTGATTTTTCCTTATTGACACGTGGCTCATTATCCTTGTTTTATGTAGCTGGAGTTTGTCCAGTGAACTGTCATGGGTAACTCTGAGTATCTTATGCAAAAAATTCAAGCACATTTCCAGGTTTGGCTGGCCGCTGAGGCCTATCCCAGTTTAGTTGACTTTGAGTGGGAAAATCTCCTGGTTTTGCAGTGCTTTGACGTAGTCTAGTTCAAAAGTTAGACCAGGTTTCCTGATGAGCACCACTATTATGGGACAAAAAGAGAAGCTGCGTGCTATGTCAAAAACAAAACAGAAAAACGCAACCCACAAAACGGGATTCTGTTGTAAACGTGTAAAACAAAACAAACAAAAAAACCTCTGTACAGGTTTGTATCTAATGTGATATCCCTGCCTTTGCAGATACACAGGGTAGGCATTGGAGCAGTGTTGGTTCCAGTGACTTTAATGATTCATTCTGTATTTCTTTTCCCTTCTCTCTCTTAACTTTTTTTTTTTTTTTTTTTTTTTTTTTTTTTTTTTTTAGCATGAATGTGGCACTTGCAAAAGTCAAGGAGAAAAAACATTTGGCTTTGGCAAGCACAGAGTGGGCAGAGTATAAAATTCCACGCACAGCTGTGCCAGTGTGCTTCAGTCCTAGCTTAACAACATTTCCTGCTATTCCAGAACTGGGCCTGTCTTAGAGAGAGTGCCAGTCATGACACTTTTTATGGTGGTTTTGTGCTCCGCACAAATGGGGACTAGAATGAAAGCAGCAGACTAATTTTAGTTCATGATCTTAAGTTTTGAATCCAGGTCTGCCGAAGTAAAAGATTAGTGCATTAGCTCACTGAAAATTTGAGCCTGTTCTCCAGCTGGACTTTCTTGACCACCTGCTAACTTGTTGATATGGTGAGAGATTAGGTTCTTTAGGTCCAATTCTGACCTCATGTACCTTGGTGTAACTTCAGTGTTTTTTGTATAATCAGTTTCAATTGTCTAATTTAAATTTCAGCAAGGCCTAGATTTTCATGCATTTTACTGCTTTATGTATGGTGTTTTGTTTTTTTTTTTTTTTTGCTTGTGTAATTTTTTCCCTCCAGTTTCTATGCTTCCTACACCATTCTTTATTTATTAGTCTTGTTTTTCCATAGTACCACTATAAAATAGCCTACTGCGTTATTTGTCTGCATGGTCTTTTGCTCTTTCAGTGATCTAGAATGCACCTAAAATTCTGTTCCCTTCTTGATATTGCTCTTTCACTACTTAATAAAGTTTCTTGGCAATAATTTACAGGCAAGATAGCACATCCTGTTATGCCTCAGTCAAGGAGAATATTGGTTGTATGAGATTGTTCTGAAATCAGGGCCGTGATCCGCCCACAGGCCAGCTACCTTATTCAACTCCTTTGAAGCTCCGTGTGAGTCCTGGATGGAATTTGGCTGCTCCCAGGTGCTTGATGTGTGCTCTAAGCAAGTCCCAAGACTTGCTGGAAGCAAGAGGGAAAGGCTGCATCCTGGGTAAGTCACTGACCTGGAATGGCTTCATTTCCTTGCTCTGACAGATATTTCCTCTGCAGTTTTGACCCTATCGTTTAATTGCTCCAAGCCTCAGTTTTCTTATCTATGTGCTGTCTAGAGATAACAGTGCTTCCATGCATCCTAATAGCAGTGGAAATAGGTGTGCTTAGGCTTGTTTGGCGAAACAAGGACCTTGTTGTCTCAGGAGGGCTAATCTTTAGCATACCATCAGCTCTGTTGACTTGTCCAGCATTTTTGGAAGCATTAAGGTTGATTTTCAGAAGTTAATTTCAACTTTTTCTTGACCGTTTATTGGTAAGAAGAAAAAACATCTCAACTTAATGTTTTGCTTTAGACTAAAGTCTGCTTTTAAACTGACTGCAGTAATGGAATTGTTTCATATTTCTAAGACTTTTTTTTTTTTCTTTAGAAGAAATATTTGCTTTTGTAAAACAGAATGATTTTTTTAGTTGTAATCTGGCATTAAAATAATAGATGATATTTCGTAAGGCAGATTCCCACATAAAGAATTAAAAATCTTCCTTCATGACCTGAATCAATTCAGGTACCTGTATTGTTTTCAAACCTGGGTGAGAAAAGGACTTAGGGGGAAAAAAAAGAAAAAACAAAACCCAACACACCTCAAAGAGCTGAATGTTAGAGTGCCATCTAGTGCTTCATTAATTAACTGATTTACTGCAACTTCTGTGTTTCTGCCACTCTCCCTTATGCCTGATCTCCGAGGGCTTACTTGGAAAAGCTTACTGCAAGTTCTGAAGGTAATCAGTTGATGGTGAATGAGCTGCCTTCAGCAGACTCGAAGTGCTGAGCAATGGCATGGAAAAGAAAACTGAAATCTTTTTCCCCATAAATTTTACATGATTTGGTAGAACGCACTGTGAAAACCCGGACTTCAGTTGCAATGACAATGCTATATATATATATATATATGAGAGAAGTCATTATGAAGGATCTGATTCTTTACCTTATAATGGTAACTGAAAGAGACTGTGATACGCAAACTGATATAAAAGCAGCGTGGGTAAAAGAATAAAACCATCATGCTTCAATTAAAATGAGCATTTAGGAGTTTGGGAGCTAATCCAAACTAGAGGAATCTCTTGAGTCTGTTTTGATGTGAAATAGCACTTAAGTTAGTATATGCTGATTAATTTTAATTTCTTTTGGGGGCAAAGTGGCTAAATATGATTTAGTAGTATGATATAAGTAGCTGGAGTTAGAACCAACAACTTCGTGGTTACCTGATCTTTTATCAGGATGTGATTTCAGTATGATAATACTGATTTCAATGAACTCAGAACTTTGTTAGTTAATGCTGTTGTAGGTGATGTTGCAACTGGGGGTGAAGCTGTATATCTAAAGCAGAATCTTGTAAACTTAATAAATATAGGCATGGCTGTTTCTTTACAGCTAAGTCAACTTTATTCCTTTTGAAATTAAATTAAAATGAAAGAAAAATCTGTAAGTACTTCTGATATCTCTTCAATTTCTTTTTTTAATTTCTTTTTCTTGAAAGCTCTGTTTTTAAAAAATACCATTCAAAACTGCTTTCCTCACATCTATTCGATAAGGGGTCTATGAAACCTAGACTGAAAATTTCACTCTGGTATAATATTACATGTTCCTGTGTTTGCTTTTTAACTGGGCTGCTCAACACAAAATTTTCTCCCCTTCTTTATCCCCAAGGAAAGGACTCTGAATAATGAAGAGCCCTTCCTTGAGAGAACTGGTCACCAGCCCAATTAAAGAGGAGCCTCCCCTACCTCATCCTGGCAAGCAGAATGTTTTTCTGGCATAGAAGTTCTCCAGTCATGCCAAATAACCACTGTGGGATTTCTCGGGTCCCTAATGGCTTTTGAAAAAATACAGTATGTAAGCCATTAAAGTACTGGCTCTGGGACTGTTTCCCAAGTAGGTCTGTGTAGAAGCAAATGGCAACTCTTGCATTTTGTCAGTCTTCAAGTTTTTACTTTAATCTTCTGTCCTTTTCAGAAATTTCCTATTACAGGATCTCAGTGTCATATAAGCACTAGTGAATAAAGGACTGTAGCTTGGCTATGTACTTGAGCCTCACTTTGCATTAACTTACTGAGTGATTACAAGCAAATGAGTTTTTTTCACAAATACAAAGTAGGAATTAAAGTACTTGGGTGATAATTTATTTGGCACAGATCTGTCTTTTGTTCTAGAGCTAGCACAGCAGGGGCACAACTAGAGAAAGTCCTGAAATGCTACCCTGATCCAGGTATTGCGCTGAAACTAGTGCTGCACTTATCAGGTGTGGAATGGGACTTCATGCTCAGATATCATAACAGATCATCAGAAGTAATTAGCACAGAATGAAATAATGCACGTGGAGTAGTTTTGCTTTAGGATCCTCCTGTAAAATGAATTACATACTTTAAGTTGAATGTTACCTACATTCTGTGGTGATGAATGTATGGTTTACCACCCCATCCCCAATTAACAGCCTGAGTTCCTCATCTGTTTGAATCGCTTGAGGATGTGTGTTTTTTTTTTTTTGGATAGCAGTTCTTTTGTTGAAAGTTATGAAAACCAAGGCTGACCCAAGGTGACTGAGACATTCCCATCATCATAAGAAGACAATGAAGGAAACACTCCTTATTGAATTACTGAGAGCTTTGGGCAACTGCTGAACCAATTTGGCCAGTAACTTGCACCAAAAGAGCTAAAGATTTTGATTTTTAACCATAAAACAATGGAATTATCTTCAACACTACACCCATTGCGTACGGCACTTACTGCATCACTAAGAAATAATAGTGTGGGTCTCATGGAGTGGAGTGCAAGTCTACAAATAAGGTTGTTTGTTTTTTTTTTGTTTTGTTTTGTGTTTTTTTTTTGTCAGTATGGCAGACCTTGGCACTTGAAGAAGGACTTACCAATACGAGTTTACTAAATGTAGTCTTTGAGCTGTATCATCAGACTATTACCACATTATTAGGGGGAATGAGAGTGCCGTGAAAGAGACGCACCAACTGAATGCCACGTGCATTGTGAATGCCTGCTGCTGAAGCCCCCATTTTCAGCTCAGGTCAGGCCAGAGATGATATGAAGCAGCCCTCTGTGACAGGGCTACATAACACGTTAGAAGTCATCTGCTTTGTTAGATGTGTGATTATTTGGGAGTAGGGGGACAAAACGTCATTAGAGCTAGATTAATGGTGTGTCAAAGCTCTTTTACTTCATAGTAGCCACCTCTGACAAAACCTTAATTCTAGCAGGCAGTTAGGTTGAGTACCATCCCAGCTCAGCACACCCAAGTACTTTCATGCTGACCCTGTTATGTTTGGCAGGACGTCTTTTTTCATTTGTCCTCCGGCGGCAGTTCTCAGTGGAGAATGGAAACCAAGGTTTTCATTGGGGTGACCTTGCTGAAACTGAAAAATCAGTCTGCCTCAGACACCCAAAAGCTCAGAGACTTTGCAAATAAAACTGTCTGGTTGAAGATAGCTTGCATGTCTGGTTTGGGATTTTAACCAGTCTTCTGATGTAGAGGGCCTAGAACACTGGGCCTGCTCTCCTTCTCTATAAAAGTCTAAGTATTTCTAATGCAGCATTCATTTCAAGATGGGATTGATGTTTGTAGGGAATGGAAACCCTGTCTGATTTTCTTGGAAGTTCATATGATGCATTCTTTCTGTCTTTCATAGAAAAGCTTACTTTTCTTTCTTACCTTCATCTGTGCCCAAACCCAACACTCCTGCTTTATCTAAACTTCATGATGAGAGATACCTGAGTTCTTCTTTTTTCTCTTCCTGAACTCAGTTGCTGTGCTGAAAGATTTTCATGTGAGATGAAATTGTGAACTCTGGATTACACAGATGCTCTCTGTTGAAAGTTAACATATGGATTGAAACTTGCTCCTGGTTATATATTTTTTTTCCGGAAGACAAACAATTGCTTCCCCCCTGGCTCTGGATAACAGTGTTGTCATGAAGAAGCTATTTGGGGCATACCTTTTGCTTTGCTCTTGCAGGTGACGCATTATCACTACCCACGAGAACGGAAGCGTCCATGGATTTTAAGGAGAGGGCATTTAAGTGTGACTAATATCTCAGAAAAGGATTTTGAGAGCAGCTAAACTTAGATGAGATATTGCATTGCTTCATTTGGATGGATTAATAGAGAGACGAGGGGTCTAGAAGGAAATTGTATCTCACACAGATTGTTTAATGCTGAAAAATCCCACAGCACTTCATGCCAGCTGTTGAACACTCACCAAATCTACACAGTTATTAACTACAAGAATACTGTAGCAGGGAAAATAGTTGCCTAACTTGAAAAGTCGCAAGGCTTTATGTTTGTAGTCCTACTCTTTGAGAAAATGATGGGGGTTTTGCTCAGCTTCTAAATTTTCCTATTTGAGAGCATGCTCCTTATTTCAAAATCTTACTAATGATAACAGAGGTGAAAAGACGGATGGGGCAAAGAATGCCACAGGGTCATAATAATGACCTGCAGATGGTTGAGGTTTATTTTTAATTCAGACGATAACGCCTTTAACAACATAGCATTCTTAGAACCATGCAAGGGCGTTCACTGAGCACTGAGTTGGAGCAGGAACTGCAGGGCATTGCATTCATAAAGAAGAGGAGGGAATAAGATGAGAGCTGGGGAAGGATTTAAGCTAAAATCACTGGCAGAAAGCCAGAGCTAGCTTCTGGCAAGCAGCCCTGGTCTAATAAGAATAAAATATGGGGGAGACCCCATTCTTTGACTGCTGAGCTCTAGAGAGAACTTCGAGGAACACATGTCCTTGCAAGAATGACCAAGGTGAGTGAATCAGCAGCAGTGTAGCACTACCATGCTATATACAAAATAAAAATCATTATTGATTTAGCTTGTCCTGCTCTACACATTGAGAGGTTCTTTTGTGAATTTCCATTTCTTTTAAAGCCATGTACACAGATTTCTTGTTTTCTTGAATTTAAAAGGAGGGTTAGATAAGGAAATAA